GGTAACCTTTAACCTTTTGAGGCTTATATAATCCTACTAAAATTCAAAAGGTTGACCTTTTTGGGGCTAGGGTACCCCGGCCATCTGCGTCCAGAGAGGCTTCGTTTCCTCCTTCGTTCTCATATTTTTGCGATTTTCCCGTTTTTGCTCCTATGAAACATGATTGATCCGCTCTGTGTGGTGGGGTGGAGATGTCAGCTTTATGTTCCACGTTTACGTGGCTTGATACTTTGGGGCTATTTAGACTTTGGGGGTTTGGGATTGTAGGGTTTGGCTTTTCGGGTGTTCAGGGATTCTAGCCTTTAGGGTTTAGGGTTTAGGGCTTAGGGTTCCTAAACCCTAAACCCCAAACCCTAAACCCTTTTGGTCGGTTTGGGGTCTTATAGGCTTTTCGCCTCGTGTTTAAAGCGTTTTGGGGGGGCCAGGCCCACCTTGGCCACGCTGTTCCTCTCCAGGCGGATGCCAGAAGCCCCTTGGCTTGGGATTGGACTAATGTAGGGTTTAGGGTTTAGGGTTTAGCGCTTAGGGCTTAGGGCTTTGGGTTTAGGGTTTAGGGTTTAGGTAATATGTAGGGGCCTAAAGAATTACCAATGCTAGTTTTTGAGGGGGGGGTCCTTAGGATTATTGTAATTAGAGTAGAGTATATCCCAAAACCCTATTCTAATTATAAAGGCCCCTGTATTAAAGCCCCCACGTAAGGGTTTTTCGATTTTTCATGGTTCCGGTGATATAGAAGTTGAAATAATTGCCAATGTTACTGTTAGGGTTCCTTATTCTTAATAATACTATAAATGAACCCAATATTCTAACTGTTAAGGCCCCTACAGCAGGGGCTCAGTTATAGTCCGCTACATTAAACCCGTATATTACCCTTTATAGTAGCCCCTTTAAAGCTTTAAAGGAACCCCTTAAAGGAACCCTATTCTAATTATTAAAGCCCCTACATTAAGGCTTGAGTGAATTTAGAGGTCGTTGCGGCTTCGGGCTTCGGGTGCTCTCGGCAGGTCCCACGCTGAGAGCCTAAGATTCGCACCATGGTTTAGGGTTTCGGGTTTGGTGAATCCCCCAGAAATGTGGTTTGGGGTTTTGGGGTTTGGCGAATCCCCCCAAAAATGTGGTTTAGGATTTAGGGTTTGGCGAATCCCCCAGAAACGTGGTTTAGGGTTTCGCGAATCCCCCAGAAATGTGGTTTAGGGTTTCCGGCTTAGTGAATCCCCCAGAAGGTTGGAACATGATCTTGGGATGATTTGTGGTGGGGTCCCCTGTACTTTATCTTAAGGGCATGAGGATAATTTATTCAAACTTTCTGGCTTCTACTTTAGAAAGACATGCCCACCCCGGGACCCGTAAACCACTCAGAGCCAGCCAAAGCCACCACACCCATAATGCTAAAACGCAAACTGCGCAGGTTTAGCTGAATAGGAGACATGCATGTTTCAAGCAACCAAACAAACACAACAAAACCATGGTTTATGGCAAATGAGAAGAGAAGATCCCAACCAAAGCCTTCAAAATGAGCGAATATGCATTGATTGCTCCTTTAGAGAAGCGTTCCTGGACGTCCTTACGGTCCCTAAACCCTTTAACCTTAGACCCTGAACCCTGAACCTGAAACCCAAAACCCATGACCCTAAACCTTAAACCTCCAACACTAAACCCCAAAACTTTGTAAAGGGCCAAAATTCCGTCATTTTTTCCATGCCCATGGGCACATCGGCTACGTTCCAAGCGGGCGGGTCTGCTCTCCTGAACAACGGGGGCCTTCCAAAACTACCCTCAGTAAAGGATATATATATATATATATACTTTAAAGCACATTAGGGTTTAGGGGTTTTGGGTTTGGGTTTGGGGGTTTAGGGGTTAGGGTTCAGGGGTTCAGGTTTAGGGTACCTTACAATCATGTTAGGGTTTCGGGGTTTTAGGGATCTAAACCTTAAGTATATATTAGGGATGTTTACTATACTTTATCAAGGGAGATATGCCTTTTCGGGTTCCTTAAATTTTAAAGGGATCTATGAGGGTGTCTACAAGGCTATAAGAATTAAGGAATGTACCTTAAATCATATTCGGGATCCTACTATACCTTAAGATATACCCTAAACCCAAAGCCCTAAACCCAAAACCCTAAGTATAGCCCCTAATTAAGGGATATTGGACGGTTTGGGGCCCCGCCCCCTACCTGGTGTGCGCAGCCTTTTTGGGAAGTCGCGAAGGGCGACGAGGAAGGAATCGCCAGGTTTAGGGTTCAGGGTTTAAGGGGTTGTATGGAGCCTGTCAAAAGCCGAAGACTAGATAGAACTTGCGTTTATGTGGCGACTGACTATGTGGAATGCGTGTCTTTTCTTCACGCTGTAAGATGCACTTCCCAAGACAGCCACCCACTACCCATAGGCCCCATCGTAGTTCCTTTTTTTGGGATTACCTAATAGGATCCTGAATATACGCCACAAAAGGGAACTACTATGGGGCCTATGGGTACACATGTACTTGGCTTCTACGGGAAACCCAGAGGAAGCGACACACTCTCGCAGACTGAGGTGCGTTTGTCAACACTTCAGTGCCGCAACCTCGGCAAACTGGTCGGGCTTCAGGTTTCCAGAAAGTCTGAGTTTATTTCTTCAGTCAGGGCGTTTCGGACACAGAGTTTGAGATTCAGGCTCGGAGTTCGGGTTTAGGGTCGAGGGCTCAGTGGCTGATATCGGGTTCTGTGTTTCGATATGTTGCCTACTTGTGCTCACGTGGTTGCATGCACGCTATACCTGAATTGTATGCACGCTATAGCTGGATTTTTACTAACCAAGGCTGGAGTACAGGGTTTATTCCTTAACTGAGCAAGACCCGGACATCATAGTTAGGAGCCAAAAGGGTAGGATCTAATTGGGTTTAGAGTTTCAGGGCGTGCGGCTTTAGGCGAGGACGGCGGGTTCACGCTTGCTTGGAGCTGCGAACCACTGCATTGCCTGTGAGAAGCCAGGGCTGGGCATGGCGGTTCGGCCGCCTAATCTAGGGGCCTAGATTACCAATACTATCTGGGGGGGGGGGTCCTTATTCTAACTATTATAGCATACTGTCTCTAATTATTGAGGCCCCTATATAGAGAGACCTGACCCTGGCATTCGCGAGTACACGGTGTCGGCAACTGCTTGCTCATTTTGCCGATTGGACATGGGCCTCAGCCATAGCATTGTCAGTCTCCGTGACTGTTGCTGGAGCCCGAGGATACGATGCAGGATGGACGATTGCTCGCTGTCTTTCCAAAGTGAGCCAAGAGTTCCACTTGCTTCGTTGCCAGGTGTGCCCTGGAGCGCACTGCACGTCGAACGTTTGTCTGCAGGGTTGTAAGAGATTCTATAGGAGTCGGAAGAATGTGTAATGTTGTTACATAGAATCGTCCCCAATGACAATTCTAATTACCAAGGCCGCTATACTGTTCCTTGTCGAAAAAACTCACGAACTAGAGACGCTAGACCCCGCACCCCAAAACCTAATTCAGGATTTTGGTGTCTCTGGCAACTCCACGCCGCAGGCGCCATTCTCGTGGCTGTCGGCTGCCAGCATCGAAGCTTCGACGAGGTGCCAGTCAACCCCACATTTAGATTTCGGCTTTAGGTTCATGTCGGGGCCTGACTAATTCTAACAGGGTTCCAAACAGGATTTCGATGTTGTTCATGTGATGTTTCAAGGTTTTAGTCTAGAAGCCTCAACTCAGAATAAGGTTTGGGCTAGCTTGCAGTATAAGTACTGTTGATGATATAAATCCTGCATTACGTTGAGGACCCAAAACTCCTTATTGTGGGTAATGCAGGATTTATATCATCGACCGTATTATTGCATGGGGAGCCTCGAGGAATGGTCTCACTCATCATTCGGGCTTCTTTTGCATACTTTTGATGCAGGTTGCTGCAGGTGTTCAGGGTGTTCCGTTTAAGGAAATTGACTTAGGTTCCCATTATGCGGACGCAGTTTCCGCCGCATGGTAAGTTGGAGCGAGTTTTTAGCAGGACCTCAAGTTGTTGACTCAGGAGTATTCGGCCAAGTAAACGAGACCTCGAGTGACGGGATGCTCGTCCTGGGAGTTTCTTAATATCATTTATTTATACCCACAATATACCCCAAGGCACTGAATATAGGGGCCTAAATAATTACCTATACTATTTTGGGGTTCCTTGTTCTACTTATAGTGTAATGGGCCCCAAACCCCTATT